CACACACACACACACACACACACACACACACACACACACACACACACACCTCATACCCTGTTATCATCCAGCACCTTCCAACTCCCAGAGAGCCCATAGGGCAGAGTAGAGCTTCCCGAGGCTATCCATCTTTACGGAAGCAGACGCGGAGCGCCTGGTGGGTTCGACCTAGCAACCTTGCGGTCAGCCCTCAAGCATGTAACCACTGTGCCACCGGGCTTCCTGTACACACCATCAAACTCAACCCCCCTGCCATCGAATCCAATGCTGACCCATAGCAGCCCTCCTGTGGGTTTCCCGGAGTAGGAAGCCCAGTTTTTCTCCCGAGGAGGTGCTGAGGTTTTGAACCGCAGACCATGCAGATCAGCCCAACGCATAGCCACTGCACCACCAGGCCTCTTCATACACCACAGTGTGTCCAGACTGGAAACCTCAGAACCTACTCTACAGGGCCGGCCGGCAGTTCCGGCTTGTCTGATCAGAACCTTTCTGAAGGTTGCTGTGTGGTGGCAGCACCACCCTGACACGCAGCGTCTCAGGTAACCCTGACTCCAACTCTGGAATGTGGGTGAGAGCCCCGCCCTGAGCTCCCTTTCTGGTGGGGCCCAGGGCCACGTGGCCCAAAGGGCTTTCCCTTCCCGGCTAAACTAAAGGTAGAAGGTTCAAACCGAACTAGGGATGCCACGGAGGAAAGGCAGGGCAGGCTGCTTCTGAGGGACAAGCCCCGCAGGTGAGCTCTGTCCCTGGGGCCATCGGGAGTTGAGTCGAGGACCCCAGGGCAATCAGCCACTACAACCACCAGGTGATGCGCATGCCCCTGCTTCTCAGACGAGAGTGGCCAGGACAGGGCAGTCCAGCCTTCTCACTGACCTTTAAAGGATGGACCCCACACCCTATCATGGCAGTCCTCCTTAAGTTCATGGGAGGGGGGGGTGTGCCTCATTCCCTTATCCCATCAGAACCCCCATTTTTCTATATTCAAATCGCTTTAATATTGAAACCCCAGGGTGTTTTTTTTCGTTTTCTCTTTCTTGCTCAAGTTCATCCATTATTGGTAGTATTGTATCATTTTATTGGGGTCTCTGGCCATTGATAATGGCCCATACATCAATTGTCTCCATCACATTTGTGCTCTACGAGGAGGCCGCGGGTTAGTTTTGAAGTGTGTATCCGAGCAGTAGTCTCAGGGGCCTCCAGTCTCAACAGTCAACCTGCTGAGGAGTTGTAGGAATTGGAGGTCTGTTCCACGTTTTTCTCCCCATCCATCAGGGCCCAACTGCTGTGGTCTTGATTAGGAGATCGGGCAGTGGTCACCGGGCACCACCTAAGTTCTTTTGAGCTCCGAGGAGACCAGGTTGTGCTTCCTGTAGACCAGTGCTTCCCTGGGGGGGCTGAGTTGATCCAGGGGGCTGCCAGAGCCAATGCCTATACTTGTTCCTGGCTTAGAGACAGTCATCATGCAGATGTTTTTACTTGGCAGGGGGACCCCGAGTTACAGGTTTGGGTTGGTTTGCTTTTCTGAAAAGGGGGTGGTGCTTTGAGAGCCTGCGCTGTAGACGCTCAGTCTTGCAGGCGACTTTCTTCTTTGGCTCTTTGGTTTCCGTTTCCTGCCGACAGTGGGAGCCCGACAGGGGGAGCCCGACAGTGGGAGACTGAGAGTGGTCTCTCCCAGCTTTCCGGACTCCGCGCACTGCTTCATGACTTTGCGTGAGCTCTCTGCAGGATCTGTGTTTAAGCAGTTGTTTGTTTGTTTACAGGAAAGGTATAGCAACGGTATCTCCTGAGCTCTTGCCCAGCTGTAATGCCCTCCCTTGGCCCCCTGGCAATTTTGTCGAGCACAGAATTATCGTGTGGTGATCTTTTCAGATCTTTCCAAACCTTTGCATCCCACCCCGGTGCCACCCCTTTTGAGCAGGAGGCCGGCGGAGGCTGAGTTCTTCCTCAGGTTCAGAGGCTGGACCTTGGAGAGGTCGGTCCGCTGGCTCAAGGTCGCCCATTCCAAGGAAACCCACCACAGACCTTCCTGCCTTTGCCTGGCTTTGCGGGCCTAGGGAATGACTTCCGTTCTGCCACTTCCAACGTCCGCTTCCCCATGCTGAAAATGCAGGGAATACGTGCACTTACAGGGAAGGGCTGGGAGGCTTCGGCGGACACGCTCCGCACAGGTACTCACCTGTGGGACAGAATGCGCTTATTTCAACTCGGTGATGTCCAAGGACAGTTCTTCTAAAGAAGGGGAGTTGGTGATGGTGGGTGGGGCACACGTCATTCCGGTGTCACGTCTGAACCCTTCACCTTCGGGCCTTCTTATGCCCACACAAAAGGCCCTGGCCAGGTGACTCCACTCACGGTAACCCTCTGTGCGTCAGAGCAGAGCTGTGCTCCACAGGACATCGCTGCCTGACATTTCAGAAATGGATGGCCAGGCCTTTCTTCTGAGGCACCTCTGGGGGAACTCGGAACCTTTCATTAGCCAAGAAGAGTGTGAGCCCTGGGCATCCCCCAGGGTCTCCGGGGTCCTTTTGGCTGCTTTCTCTTTCCTCTGTTCCCCTCCTCTCTCTCTGGCTCTGGGTCTGCCAGCACCGCCCAGCGATCTCATTTGTCCCAGGAGGCCAAGGGCAAAGCCAAAGAGTCTAGCTTCCACGACCAGGGACTGGAAGGCTAAGGCAGGTGCGGTGGATGTGGAGGGTGGACTTTGGCCCTGTTCTAGAGCCCTTCCCAGCTCTCCCAGGACTCTCTGCTGGCCCTAGAAGTTTGCCCTTCCCTTGATGACACTACAGGGACTGGCTCTTGTGTGAGGGCTACCGGTGGCATTCCCAGAATCCTTGCTATTAGCTGCCGCTTGGTCAGACTTGACTCTTTGTGGCAATCTCACACACGGTGGAAGAAACCCCCACCTGGTCCTGTGCCATCCTTGTGATCGGCTGTGGGGTGGACCCTTATAATCCATAGATTTTTCACTGGTTGATATTTGGGGAAGGAGACAGCAGACCTTTCTCCCTAGACCATGTTGGCCTGCTGAGACCTATTCAGCATCCTAGCAGCACGCCGGCCTTCATTGGCAGACGGGTGGTGTCTGCACACGAGATAGGTACATTGGCAGAGAATGTCCTCGGGCCTCCCAGAGGGAAGGAGAGGATTCTGCCGCAGAACCATCACTGCCTGTCCCAGAATCCTGAACTCATCCCAACCAGACCTGCTGGAAAAGTCACGGGCCATTCGCCAAGCCAGAGATGAGCGGACATTCCACATCTTCTACTACCTGATCGCAGGGGCCAAGGATAAAATGAAAAGTAAGTAGGCAGCTGTTGAGGAGGGACGGGCAGCCTGCGCCCTGCCCTTCCATCCAGACTCGGGTGTAAGAGAGTCGCTATGGAAGCCGAGATTCTGTGGGAGGAGGCACGGCACCTTTGGGTAGTGAATGCTCTCCTGTCTCCTGTGAGAGACTTGGCTATTGTTTAGAAGGCTCGTTTGCTGAGCACCTACTGTGTAATAGGTACCTGGAAGAGGCATGTGGTCTAATTTAGACACCGTCTGTACCTTCCAGAGGGGGAGAGATACAAGTGTTGTATTGCTAGTTTGCAGACCTTGGCAAGTACGAGGGCAATAGAAAAAGCATCACTACAAGGATTCCACGTCACACGTGCTTGGGTTATTCCAGACACGCGTGTTGAAGCGCAGCTCTGCCGTAACGGAGGGCGGCAGACGAGTTCTGTCAGTCATCTATTTGTCTCAATCTCATCAGAATGCCTTCTCTTAAAAGGAGGCTTTTTGTGCTCTGGGAAAAAACAATGTTGAGGTCACGGCTCAAGATCAAACGATGAACAAAGAAGCAGACGTCTAGTCAAGTCATTGGAACTTTGTGGCAAGTTGATCGAAATGCAACCCCACGAGAGCCAGCAGTCTCGAGGTGGGCTTGGCAGTGTCTGGAAGGTTGGGCAGACCTCAAGGATGAGCCAAGGGAAGGAAGACCAGTCACCTCCTTGAACAGGGAAACTGGGACGGAAGAAGACCGTAGAATGAATTCCCACCGAGACAGTAGCTACTGGAATGGGCATCTTCATGGTCCAGCATTCTCCATTTGAAGCGACCCAGTGAGCTTTCAACTTGATGGGTGCCAAGAAGCATGGTGCCAAAGGTCAGCTAGTTCAGGGGTCAGGAAACTTTTGAGCCCATCCTGTCCCCCACAGCAATTTAAAAAGCATCCAAGAGCCATAACTATATTTCTACAAACAAAGGAGATGGCCACGATGCGAATAATTTTTTTTTCCAATTTTACTTCAGAGCCACATGTACCTACTGAAAGAGCCCCATGTGACTCAGAGGCCCCAGCATTCCAGCCTCCAAGTTGCAGGGGCCCCAGCGTGCCAGCCTCCGAGCTGCAGGGCCCCAGCATGCCAGCCTCCGAGCTGCAGGGGCCCCAGTGTGCCAGCCTCCGAGC